TAGTGGGGGGATGTCGGGTCCTGTATGGCGGGGGTCCCCATCCTCATCCCTCCTCCTACATATGTTGTACAGGAAGGTCCTAGTGGGGGGATGTGGGGTCCTGTATGGCGGGGGTCCCCATCCTCATCCCTCCTCCTACATCTGTTGTACAGGAAGGTCCTAGTGGGGGGATGTTGGGTCCTGTATGGCGGGGGTCCCCATCCTCATCCCTCCTCCTCCTACATCTGTTGTACAGGAAGGTCCTAGTGGGGGGATGTCGGGTCCTGTATGGCGGGGGGTCCCCATCCTCATCCCTCCTCCTCCTACATCTGTTGTACAGGAAGGTCCTAGTGGGGGGATGTCGGGTCCTGTATGGCGGGGGTCCCCATCCTCATCCCTCCTCCTACATCTGTTGTACAGGAAGGTCCTAGTAGGGGGATGTGGGGTCCTGTATGGCGGGGGTCCCCATCCTCATCCTCCTCCTACATCTGTTGTACAGGAAGGTCCTAGTGGGGGGATGTTGGGTCCTGTATGGCGGGGGTCCCCATCCTCATCCCTCCTCCTCCTACATCTGTTGTACAGGAAGGTCCTAGTGGGGGGGATGTCGGGTACTGTATGGCGGGGGTCCCCATCCTCATCTCTCCTCCTCCTGCATCTGTTGTACAGGAAGGTCCTAGTGGGGGGATGTCGGGTCCTGTATGGCGGGGGTCCCCATCCTCATCTTCCCTCCCTCTTGGACCCTCATATCTCTGTCTGTACCATCCCTGTGGGATCTCTCTAGACCATTTCATGTGGCCCTTGTACCTCTCCTGCGGGTACCCCCTGTCTCCGCCCCCCTCCTTGTCTCCGCCCCTCCTTGTCTCCGCCCCCCCACCTTGTCACCGCCCCCACCTTGTCTCCTCACCCACCTTGTCTCCGCCCACCCCTGTTCTCAGCAGTCGGCAGCAGAGAGGAGAACAGAACTCCTCCGCCAAATCCTGCGCCTCTCAGTGCGGCTGCACCACCCCCTCAGCTCCGCCCCCCCTGGTCTCAGCATTCAGCAGACTACACCCCTCCTCTGGTCCTCCTCCAGACCCGGCACTCTGCTTTCCAGCTCCGCCCCCAAGGGGTTTGGGTGGGGGGGGGGGGGGCATGGAGATGTTAGGGAGGATGAGAAGGTGAGGATGAGAAAATGAGAATGAGATTATGAGGATGAGAAAGTGGGGATGAAGATGAGGATGATATCATGAGGATGAGAAGATTGGGATGAAGATGAAAAGATGAAGATGAGAAGGTGGGGATGAAGATGAGAAGATGGGGATTGAAGATGAGGATGAGAAGGTGGGAATGAGATGAAGATGGGACGACAAGAAAAAGATGAAGATGAGACAGCGGGGATAAAGTTGATGATGAGAAGCTGGGGATGAAGATGAGAATGAGATGATGAGGATGAGAAGGTGGGGATGAAGATGAGAATGAGATGATAAGGATGAGAAGGTGGGGATGAAGATGAGGATGAGAAGGTGGGGATGAAGATGAGGATGAGATGATAAGGATGAGAAGGTGGGGATGAAGATGAGGATGAGAAGGTGTGGATGAAGATGAGGATGAGATGATAAGATGAGAAGGTGGGGATGAAGATGAGGATGAGAAGGTGTGGATGAAGATGAGGATGAGAAGGTGAGGATGAAGATGAGAATGAGATGATAAGGATGAGAAGGTGGGGATGAAGATGAGGATGAGAAGGTGGGGATGAAGATGAGGATGAGATGATAAGGATGAGAAGGTGGGGGGGATGAAGATGAGGATGAGACAGCGGGGATAAAGTTGATGATGAGAAGCTGGGGATGAAGATGAGAATGAGATGATGAGGATGAGAAGGTGGGGATGAAGATGAGAATGAGATGATAAGGATGAGAAGGTGGGGATGAAGATGAGGATGAGAAGGTGGGGATGAAGATGAGGATGAGATGATAAGGATGAGAAGGTGGGGATGAAGATGAGGATGAGAAGGTGTGGATGAAGATGAGAAGGTGGGAATGAAGATAGGATGACAAGAAGAAGAAGATGAGGACAAGACAGTGGGGATAAAGTTGAGGATGATAAGAAGCTAGGGATGAAGATGAGAATGAGATGATGAGGACGAGACAGCGGGGATGAAGTTGAGGATGATGAGAAGCTGGGGATGAGAAGGTGGGGATGAAGATGAGGATGAGAAGATGAGGATGAGACAGTGAGGATGAAGTTGAGGATGATGAGAAGCTGGGGATGAAGATGATGACAGGGATGGTTGGGGTCCAGGGTGACAGAGGCCTGGAGGTGACACACAGCATTGTAATTGGCAGAGGCTGAACACAGGAGAAGGAATGATAATGACACGGAGAGGACACGCCGGAGGGTTCCGGGACGTCTCGGGTGACACACGGGAATGACACCAATAAATGTGCAGAAACGATGACACGCCGCGCTGCACAACAATGAGAGGACTGGGGGCGGGGCCTCCTGATTGGGTAATAATAATAGTTCTATGAGGGATAATAACAGACACGGCGCGCTGGATCATTATTATTATTATTATTAGAGCGCGATGGATACATCTAATAATACGGAGAGGAGCTGGGCCGGCACGGCCGGACGGATGACACCAACAACAACAATAATAATAGAGGGTGACATCCAGATAACGGAATAATAATGATAGATGGCGGGACTCCGCTGGCCGGGGGAGGGTAATAATTAGGCCCATGGCACACCGGTGACCCGGTCATTGGTGATGGGATCGCTACACAGATCACCGTAAATTCTCACGTGTCGCCCCCCCCCCCCATCCTCACTGCTGACAGGGGAGTGATAGACAGACTAGCGGATTTAGACACACTAACACATTGGGGACAACCTCCAGCCCACACTGTACGGTCGCAACTTCCTTCACTTTTGGGGGAATAAACCTTTTACATGAATAAATGAAAGCTGAATGGTGGTGAATGGTTTGTCCCAACCAGGGGTTGACTGACAACTCATGGGGCCCCTGGGCAATAGGGGATCATGGGGCCCCTGTGTCCTTGCCCAAACTCAAAAAAGCCTATGAAAAAGGTACCAGGGGCATCTCATGGGGCCCCCTACTGACCCTGGGCCCTCGGGCAGTGCCTGAGTTTCCAAATGGTCAGTCCGTCCCTGGTCCCAACCCTTTAACTGCTACATCTGCAGGACGGCTTGTTCTTTTGAAAAACAACAGACCTACTGGCCGGATCACCGGGTGAAAATAGAAGAAAGGAAGCCTAAAAAAAAGGGAAAACGCACACAGCCGCCACGTCTAGGGATTCTAATAAATGTCGGCATTCGGGTTCAGTGCGGCTTTAACAGAATGTGAAGGGGAGGAGCTCTGATGGAGATGATCAAATGGAGGGGTGTTGATAGTCCCCCCCCCCCCCAGATCAGACAGGAGATATCGGGGTCCGCCTAATCATGAAGCCCCTCCCATTCACAGTCACTGTGCACACTGACACCCATCATAGGACAATTCCCTCAGAGGAGAAATAGGCAGGGCGAGGGTCTCCAAACTTTTCATTCATTGGGGGGCCGGATTGTGACCAGTGGGGGGTAGAAAAATGTCCCGGTCCCGACATCAGCGAGAATAAACATGGCCTCAGGGTTGGGGGTCAGTAAAAGGAAGAGTATTGCTCCATCATTGGTGTCAGTGGGAGGAATAGTGCCCATCATTGGTGTCAGGGGAGGAATAGTGCCCCATCATTGGTGTCAGTGGGAGGAATAGTGCTCCATCATTGGTGTCAGTGGGAGGAATAGTGCCCCATCATTGGTGTCAGTGGGAGGAATAGTGCCCCGTCATTGGTGTCAGTGGGAGGAATAGTGCCCCATCATTGGTGTCAGTGGGAGGAATAGTGCCCCGTCATTGGTGTCAGTGGGAGGAATAGTGCCCCATCATTGGTGTCAGTGGGAGGAATAGTGCCCCGTCATTGGTGTCAGTGGGAGGAATAGTGCCCCATCATTGGTGTCAGTGGGAGGAATAGTGCCCCCATCATTGGTGTCAGTGGGGAATAGTGCCCCATCATTGTGGTGGGAGGAATAGTGCCCCATCATTGGTGTCAGTGGGAGGAGGAGGAATAGTGCCCCATCATTGGTGTCAGTGGGAGGAATAGTGCCCCATCATTGGTGTCAGTGGGAGGAATAGTGTCCCATCATGGTGTCAGGGGAGGAATAGTGCCCCATCATTGGTGTCAGTGGAGGAATAGTGCCCCATCATTGGTGTCAGTGGGAGGAATAGTGCCCCATCATTGGTGTCAGTGGGAGGAATAGTGCCCCATCATTGGTGTCAGTGGGAGGAATAATATAATAATGGGGGGGGGGGGGATAATAAAACATAAAAGAAATGGTAGATAATAATATTAATGGGGGGGTAAATAATAATAATAATAATAGAGGGGGAGGTAAATAATAATAATAGAGGGGGAGGGGGAGGTAAATAATAATAATAGAGGGGGGGTAAATAATAATAATAGAGGGGGGGTAAATAATAATAATAGAGGGGGGGTAAATAATAATAATAATATAATAGAGGGGGGGTAAATAATAATAATAATAGAGGGGGGTAAATAATAATAATAATAATAGGGGGGTAAATAATAATAATAATAGAGGGGGGTAATAAAAGGGGGGTAAAAATAAATAATAATAATAGGGGGGGTAAAATAATAAAATAATAATAATAATAATAATAAGAGGGGGGGTAAATAATAATAATAATAGAAATAATAAATAATAATAGATAGAAATAAATAATAATAGAGGGGGAATAATAATAAATAATAAAGGGGGGGTAAATAATAAATAAGGGGGAGGTAAATAAAGGGGGGGTAAATAATAATAATAATAGAGGGGGAGGTAAATAATAGAATAAAAAGGGGTAAACAACAACAACAATAAGAATGGGGGAGGGGAAGGGGGGAAGTAAACAATAATAGCAGTAATAGTGGGCGGGGCCGCAGTGACACGCCGTCCAATCATCTCTCTCGCCGACCTCGCTCCGGATACAATGTTGCATTCTGCGGGTCACGTGTCTCCGGCCCTCTCCTGGTCCCCGCCCCCTCCGGCGGTGCAGTGATAAGCCCCGCCCCTCCCCGGGCCGGGCGCTGAGGATGGGGGACGCTGCGGGGATCTATCACGAGCGGCAGCGGCTGGAGCTGTGTGCGGTTCACGCCCTCAACAACCTTCTCCAGAGGGACGAGTTCTGCCAGAGCCGGGCCGAGGAGATCTGCCGGGGGTGAGAGGGGGACACCCGCCGGGGGGGGGGGGGTAATAGTGTGTTTCGGGGGCAGGTTGGGGAGTGATCTGGGGGCAGAGACTACTTATGGAAGGGTGTGCTGAGAGATGTGGCCTGGTGGGGGGATGGGGTACAAGGGGGGTAGATCAAGATGTGGGACCTGGGGTAATATCTCTGTACTGGGGGTGGGTAGATGGGGGTATCTGGGGGGGGCAAGATTACCCTTTTGGGAGAGCGGGGTGAGAGAACTGCCTTTGGGGGGTGACCAGGGCAAGTGTGGGGGGAAAAGGGATCTTGAAGGGGGGTAGGTGGAGATCAGGGTAGTTTGGGGGATCATTTGGGGGGGAAGGGATCTTAGGTGTGGGGGGGTAGAGACCTATCTATTGGAAGGGGGGGTGAGAGATCTTCCCTGGTGTGGAAGGGGTGGTCAGGGAATGTCCTGGGGGTGGATAAATATTAGGGTAGGTGGAAATCAGGGGTCTATTTGGGGGTAATAGCCCTGTCCTGGGGGTAGATCGGGGTATCTGAGGGGGCAGGGATCCTCCAAGGAATAGGAGATCTGCCCCCCTAGGAGGGATGGGGGGTCAGATAGAGATGGAGGTCAGTGAATTGAGAGAGGAGGGGAAGTTGGGGGATGATTTGGATGAGGAACTTTGGGAATGGGCGGGGATAATGAGGGATGAGAGGAGAGGAGCGGGTGACCACTCAGATGGGGATATAGTTTGGTGGGGTGTGATGTAGGAGAGGGGGCAATAGATGGTGGGGATGAGATAGGAGAAGAGCGGGTGACCACTCAGATGAGGGTTAGGTCTGGTGGGATGAGATAAAGGGAGGGGCCAGAGGATGGTGGGGGATGAGATAGGGGAACAGTAGGTGGCCACATGGATGGGTGACCACATGCGGTGAAGAGGAGGGGGCAGTAGATGTTGGGGATGAAATAAAGAGCGGGTGACCACATGGGTGAGGGTAAGGTTTGGTGAGTTGCGATGAAGGGTGGGGCACGGGATGAGGTAGGAGAAGAGCGGTTGACCACATGGATAGGGGAAGGTTGGTGGGGGCGGTAGATGTTAAAGGATGCGATAGAATAGCAGGTGACCACATGGGTGGGGGCAGTAGATGGTGGAGGATGAGATGGGAGAACAGCGGTTGACCAGGTGGGTGGGGGAAAGTTGGTTGGAAAAAGAGCGGTAGATGGTGGGGGATGAGATAGAAGAGTGGCTGACCACATGGATGGGGGAAGGGGACAGTAGATGGTAGAGGATGAGATGGGAGAAGAGCAGGTGACCACGTGGATGGGGGAAGTTGGTGGGGATGAGATAGGAGAAGAGCGGGTGACTACTTGGATGAGGGAAGGGGACAGTAGATGGTGGAGGATGAGATGGGAGAAGAGCAGGTGACCATGTGGATGGGGGGAAGGTTGGTGGGGATGAGATGGGAGAAGAGCAGGTGACCATGTGGATGGGGGAAGGTTGGTGGGGATGAGATGGGAGAAGAGCAGGTGACCATGTGGATGGGGGAAGGTTGGTGGGGATGAGATGGGAGAAGAGCAGGTGACCATGTGGATGGGGGAAGGTTGGTGGGGATGAGAAAGGAGAAGAATGGGTGACTACATGGATGGGGGAAGGGGACAGTAGATGGTGGAGGATGAGATGAGAGAAGAGCAGGGGACCACGTGGATGGGGGAAAGTTGGTGAGGATGAGATAGGAGAAGAGCGGGTGACTACATGGATGGGGGAAGGTTTGGTTTGATTGAGATAAAGGGGAGGGCAGGGGATTATGGGGAATTAGATAAGAGAAGAGCGGGTGACCAGATGGGTGAGGGGAAAGGTTTGGTGGGGGTGACATGAAGGGGTGGTGGTCAAATCTCACATCATGGTATCATATTCTTACTGGGTTCTGTATTACGGGGTTCCACCAGCTGTAGAACTGATTGGATCCATAATCATGCCAGGAGATACATTTATTACAGACAGGTCCTCTTTATTTAGGGTGCACAGCCTGTGGCTCGTGCTCCCCGTAGACCGAATTCTTCCTCAGGTCACCGTGTGTTGATTTATGATTGCTGTATTTCAGGTTGTCCCCGAACTCTGTCATTAACCCGCACCGCAGTCTGCTGGGCATCGGGAACTATGACGTCAATGTCATCATGGCGGCCCTGCAGATGCTGGACTACGCCGCCGTGTGGTGGGACAAACGCAGGTGAGAAGGAAAGAGCAGCGTGTGATGGTCATAGTCCAGCTGGGGACATTTGCAGGAATTATATTTGTCAGAACTTTTATAGGGGAGATAGCTGAGGAACCACCAATGACTCCTCTCCACCAGTGCCGAACATGTTCATCAAACAAGAGGTGGCCATTGACCCAACAGGATTTCTGTGGGAACCTGAAGACCACCCAGATGACAATTTTGAGGGTCTTTCAGTTTAGAGATCATTCTCTGGTCTCTATTGATCCCTTCGAACTGTCCTCCTCTAACAGAGCCGGCCTGCCCAAAGCTTTGAGAGGTGGGACCAGGGGATCTTTGGTGGGTGAGAGATGTGCCCACATGGGGGACTAGGGATCTACTTGGGGATTAAAGATTTGAGATTTCCTAGCAGTAAGACATCTGAACCTAGGATGACCGGAGAATCTACGAAGGGTGAGAGTCCAGGAATAAGGAGGAACTTGAGGGTGACCAAGGAGTCTGCTGGGGAGTGAGAGGTGGGAGCAGATCTTCTGGGTGGAGACATCTGTCCAAAGGGGTTGGACCAGGGATGTTCTTGGAATAAGAGATTTGCCTCTGGAGGATCTGCTGAAGTTGGGAGCTCTGTCCTGAGGGTAGACATTGTATGCATGAGGGGTGAGGAGAGGTTGGGACACCTTGAGAGATCTCTGCTAGGAAGAAGGACACAGAGAGGGAGCTTAAGGAGGCTTGGAGGGAGTAAATGTAACGGATGGGGGGGGGGGCATAGAAAAAGGAAAGCATGAAAAAGAGATAGTTGGGGGGTGGGTGAACGGCTGGATGGATGGCGGTAAGGGGGATGTTGGATGGAGGGAATGAGAGGAGAAGAGGGTGAAAAGGTTGGTGGGGGGTGGAGATGTATAGGTGGAGGGCATAAAGAGGAAAGGGGGGGGGGGATTTGATTAGGAAGGGTGCAGGAGGTAAGATGGAGGGTATGGAGAACTGGAAGGGATGTATATGGTGGGAATACGATAGGAGAAGAGTAGATGATAAAATTGATAGGGGTAAGGTGAAGGGATTTTGATGGATAGGTGCAGGAAGTGAGATGGAGGGAATGGAGAACAATGGGGGGGGGGCTGTATATGGTGGGCATCAAGTAGAAGGAGGAGAATAGGTGATCAGATGGCCGAAGGGCAAGGTGGAAGTTGGACTGAGGGGTAGTAGGATGGGAGAGGTTGCTAAGGATGGATGGGATAAAAGGAAGGAAAGGTTGGTGGAGTGGATGAGGAGGATATGGGTGGATATAATGGAGAGGTGCAGGAGATAAGATGGCGGGGATGGAGAACTTGGAGCGGAGGGTGGAACGTACATGGTGGGCATGATATAGGAGAAGAGTAGGTGTGATTGGATCAATGGGGGTAAGGTAGAGGTTAGAGGGGGCAGTAGGGGATAGTGAGAGAGGTTGGTGTGGTGGACAAGATGGGGATGGAAAGGTTGGTGGGGGTGAAGATGTATAGGTGGAGGGCATAAGGAGTAGAGGGGGCATTTGATGGGGAGGGGGGGTACATGGTGGGCATGAGATGGTGAGTGACTGGGTTGATGGGGGTAAGGTGAAGGTTAGATGGAGGTGTGAGATGGGAGAGGTTGGTGGGATGGAGGAGATGAGAAGGATGGAAAAGTTGGTGAAGGGAATGAGGAGGACAAGGGGGAATTTGACAGAAAGAAGGGTGAAGGTGATCAGATGGTTGATGGTAAGGTGGAGGTTGGAAGGGGGCAGTAGGGGGGGGGAGATGGGAGAGGCTGATGGGTTGATGAGAAATATAGGTGGAGGGGAAGAAGTACAGACAGGGATTTGATGGAGAGGCGCAGGAGGTGAGAGAGGTAGAACTTAGGGAGTGTATATGGTGGGTGTGAGATAGAAAAAAGAGCGAGTGATCGGATGGATTGGGAGTCAGGTGGAGGTTGGATAGAGGGGGTGAGATGGGAGAGGCTGGTGGGGTGGAGGAGATGAGAAGACTAGAAAGTTGGGTGAGGTTGTTGTAGATGTAAACGTGGAGGGAATAAGGACGACAAGGTGCAGTTTGATAGGTGCAGGAGGTTAGGTGAAGGCGATGAGTGAGGTTGGTGGGGTGATGAGATGTATAGCTGGAGGGGACAAAGGAGGACAGACAGGAACTTGATGGAGAGGTGCAGGAAGTGTAATGGGAAAATTGAGGGTGTGTATGCTGGGTGTATGATGGGAAAAGAGCTGGCGATCGGATAGATGGGGGGGGAAAGGTGGTTAGATGGACGGCAGTAGAAGATGAGATGGGAGAGGTTGGTGGAAGTAGAGATGTAAAGGTTGAGGAGATGAGGAGAAAGGGGAGGCTTTGATGGAGAGGTGCAGGAGGTGAGACGAGGGGAGAACTTGGAAGACTGTATGTGGTGGGCATGAGATGGGAGAAGAGTGGGTGATTGGATGGATGGAGGTAAGGTGGAGGGGGCAGTAGAGGTGAGGTGGGAGAGGTTGGTGGGGGTGGAGATGAGAAGGACAGAGGAGGGTATTGATGGAGAGGTGAGACGGAGGGGATGGAGAACTTGGGGCAATTTATATGGTGGGCATGAGATAGAAGAACGGGTGAACGGATGGATGGAGGTAAGGTGGAGGGGGCAGTAGAGGTGAGGTGGGAGAGGTTGGTGGGGGAGGAGATGAGGACAGAGGAGGGTATTGATGGAGAGGTGAGACGGAGGGGATGGAGAGCTTGGGGCAGTGTATATGGTGGCCATGAGATGGGAGAAGAACGGGTGATCGGATGGATGGAGGTAAGGCGGAGGGGAGGGGGCAGTAGAGGAGAGGTTGGTGGAGGTGGAGATGAGGAGGGTATTGATTGAGAGGTGAGACGGAGGGGATGGAGAACTTGGGGCAGTGTATATGGTGGCCATGAGATGAGAGAAGAACGGGTGATCGGATGGATGGAGGTAAGGCGGAGGGGGCAGTAGAGGAGAGGTTGGTGGAGGTGGAGATGAGGAGGGTATTGATTGAGAGGTGAGACGGAGGGGATGGAGAACTTGGGGCAGTGTATATGGTGGCCATGAGAGATGAGAGAGAAGAACGGGTGATCGGATGGATGGAGGTAAGGTGGAGGGGGCAGTAGAGGAGAGGTTGGTGGAGGTGGAGATGAGGAGGACAGAGGGGGGTATTGATGGAGAGGTGAGTCGGAGGGGATGGAGAACTTGGGGCAGTGTATATGGTGGCCATGAGATGGGTGAAGAACAGGTGATCGGATGGATGGAGGTAAGGCGGAGGGGGGCAGTAGAGGTGAGGTTAGTTGGCTGTATGAGAAGGATGGAATAATTGGTGGGGTGGAGATGAGGGGTAACTCGTTGAGGGTTGTTGGTTCAATCACACATCTACAATGACATTTATGTCCCTGCAGGTCTCTGGAGAGTTTGGCGCTGAGTGAGATCTTCGGCTTCATCCTGAACATCCCGTCTCCCATCTCGCTGGGCTTCCTCTCCCTGCCGATCACCCGCAAGCACTGGATCGCCGTACGGCAGATCAACGGAGTCTACTACAACCTGGACTCCAAGCTGAAATCGCCTGCCAAGCTCGGGGGCCCCAGGGAGCTGAAGTAAGAGCCACATACTGATTTGGGGAAGTTAACATAATAGTTTAAAGCCCAACTCCAGCCAAGATGATGCCAGACACCTCCTTTTATGGGGGATTAAGAAATGAGCAGAGAAGGGGCGAGAGTCACAGCGTTGTCACTGTCGGTGTCCCCATTGGGGTAACTTCCTGTCAGAACAGGAAGTAATGATAAAGCGCTCTAATGTGGACACCGACCACAGAAAAAAAAGCTGTTTAGTAAAGTGTGGAAGGGTTGGAACGTCTGACATCCGGGATCCGTTACTTTCAGGTGGAGAGGAAACTGCCCCTTGAGGTGGTATGGATCCCATCAGCTCAGATTTTGAGCGTTGGGAGGAATTCTGGGTAAAGTTCACGTGCGTTCTCCATAACCCGAGGAGGTTCCGGCATTTCTCAGATGCTCGGCGTGTGAGCTCACAGCTGTCCTACGAGGTCTGCGGAATGCTGTGAGCGTGTGACGAGTTTATTATTGGGTGTGAGTTGCATGTGTGATGAAGAGGAGGAGGAGAATGACTCGTACGGGAGGAATGAGGAACACGTGTGAGGATCGTGCTGGAAATGATCTGCTGTTCTTAAAGCTGCAGCTGCTTATTAACCATTCAGTATATACACCTAGAGCTAGTATACAGTGATGGAAATGCATATTTACTCCCCCCCTGATGCTGAATGTTCGCCCCTCACACAGAAATGATCGGTCTAACAATGGAATGTTTGCCCCTCACACAGAAATGATCGGTCTAACAATGGAATGTTCGCCCCTCACACAGAAATCAACAGAATGATCGGTCTAACAATGGAATGTTCGGTGTAACACTGAGAGACAGAATACAACAACAAATTCAGCAGAAATGCGTCTAACAAATGATGACTGATCTGCATGTTCATGAGGGAAAGAAGGATTTGATCCCCTATCATTCAGCAGGATTTCTGGCTCCCAGGTGTCTCTCATACAGGTAACAAGCTGAGATTAGAAGCAGTCTCTTAAAGGGAGTGCTGCTAATCTCATTGTGTTACCTGTATAAAAGACACCTGTCCACAGGAGCCATCAAACCATCAGATTCCAAACTCTCCACCATGGCAAAGACCAAAGAGCTGTCCAAGGATGTCAGGGACAAGATGGTAGACCTACACAAGGCTGGACTGGGCTACCAAACTATGGCCAAGCAGCTTGGTGAGAAGGTGACAACAGTTGGTGCAATCATTCACAAATGGAAGAAACACAAAACAAGTGTCAGTCTCCCTAGGTCTGGTGCACCATGCAAGATCTCACCCTCGTGGAGTGTCAGTGATCATGAGAACAGGGAGGAATCATCCCAGAACTACACGTGAGGATCTTGTCAATGATCTCCAGGCAGCTGGGACCACAGTCACCAAGAAAACAATTGGTAACACACTACGCCGACAAGGACTGAAATCCTGCAGTGCCCGCAAGGTCCCTCTGCTCAAGAAAGCCCATGTCCAGGCCCGTCTGAAGTCTGCCACTGAACATCTGAATGATGCAGAGGAGGACTGGTGGGAAGTGTTGTGGTCAGAGGAGACCAAAATCCAGCTCTTTGGCATCAACTCAACTCGCCGTGTTTGGAGGAGGAGGAATGCTGCCTATGACCCCAAGAACACCATCCCAACTGTGAAACGTGGTGGTGGAAACATTCTGCTTTGGGGGTGTTTTTTTCTGCTAAGGGGACAGGGCAACTGCACCACATCAAAGGGATGATGGACGGGGCAATGTACCCTCAAATCTTGGGTGAGAACCTTCTTCCCTCAGCCAGGGCATTGAAAATGGGTGGTGGATGGGTGTTCCAGCATGACAAGGACCCAAAACACACGGCCAAGGCAACAAAGGAGCGGCTCAAGAAGAAGCACATTAAGGTCCTGGAGTGGCCTAGCCAGTCTCCAGACCTTCATCCGATTGAAAATCTGTGAAGGAGCTGAAAGTTCGAGTTGCCAAACGTCGGCCACCAAACCTTAATGACTTGGAGAGGATCTGCCAAGAGGAGTGGGCCAAAATCCCTCCTGAGATGTGTGCGAACCTGGGGGCCAACTCCAGGAAACGTCTGACCTCTGTGATTGCCAACAAGGGATTGGCCACCAAGTACTAAGTCATGTTTTGTGAAGGGGATCAAATCCTTCTTTCCCTCATGAACATGCAGATCCGTCATCATTTGTTAGACGCATTTCTGCTGAATTAGTTGTTGTATTCTGTCTCTCAGTGTTACACCGAACATTCCATTGTTAGATCGATCGTTTCTGTGTGAGGGGCGAACATTCCATTGTTAGACCGATCGTTTCTGTGTGAGGGGCGAACATTCCATTGTTAGACCGATCATTTCTGTGTGAGGGGCGAACATTCCATTGTTAGACCGATCGTTTCTGTGTGAGAGGGGCGAACATTCCATTGTTAGACCGATCGTTTCTGTGTGAGGGGCGAACATTCCATTGTTAGACCGATCGTTTCTGTGTGAGGGGCGAACATTCCATTGTTAGAGCGATCGTTTCTGTGTGAGGGGCGAACATTCCATTGTTAGACCGATCGTTTCTGTGTGAGGGGCGAACATTCCATTGTTAGATCGATCGTTTCTGTGTGAGGGGCGAACATTCCATTGTTAGACCGATCGTTTCTGTGTGAGGGGCGAACATTCCATTGTTAGACCGATCGTTTCTGTGTGAGGGGCGAACATTCCATTGTTAGACCGATCGTTTCTGTGTGAGGGGCGAACATTCCATTGTTAGACCGATCATTTCTGTGTGAGGGGCGAACATTCACCATCAGGGGGGAGCAAATACTCATTTCCTTCACTGTAGATACCCAACTCTGGCCTCCTATCACCAGCTTGTAATTCCCTGCTCGGCCTGGGAGGGGCAGTACTCTCAGCCAATAAAGCGGTCTTGCTTTGCTGTCAGTAGGAAGAAGAAAGCAGAGCGATGACCTCATCTCCGGGTTGTCCAATCGTTGCCCAGAACCCCAGGCTCCCCATCATCCCACAATGCAATGCAGGAGTCTCAGGCCATGTTGGGGCTCAGGACATGGAGTCCTAGAGAAGTGTTTGGCGTGACCGGATTTGAGGACCCGTGGGGGCGGACGCCCTGCAGCATGGCTGTTCTTAGGGCTGTCCGTGTTCTGACCGCTCCTCTTCGTTGTGTTTGGTAATCCATTGTCCTCCTTTTTTTTTTCTCTTGCAGGGACTTCCTCCAGGGCTGCGTCAGCCGCGGCTCCTGCGAGATCCTCCTGGTGGTGACGAAGGAGGTGGAGGAGAGCCGGCTGTGGATCAATGAAGAGGGCGCCACGTGAGAGAAGTCTTCCCAGAATCCTCCGCTCTCAGCTGGGCTGAGCCGATAACCCAAAGACTTTTAAGTTATAACAATATTTATTTATTGGGAGGAAGGGGCAACCCCCCCGCCCCTCCCCCCACCTTCTTTCAGGGTGAACCCCCCCTCCCCCCAGACACAGACCGCCGGGATCAGAACCTGTGTAGCCCTGAATCGGCGGCCCCTCCCGTCTTCTGATATATGCACTACTATGACTGCCTTAACGCTCGCCTGTCTTTTCTACCCGAATATTAATGAATGACACCGAATGGTTTTCTGCTAATTCTATTAAAGTGATTTTATACGAGCAAAACTCATGTGATTGGGTGAGATTTATTGGGGGGGGGGGCAACTTACCTGATCTAGAGGGGGCTCAGGGGTAGTCCCCGATTACATCAAAGGGCCACACACAATATTCAATGAATGTAATGCTACAGATAACTGTCAGAGACTGCAGAGGTGGTACAGGAGACGGTCAGAGACTGCAGAGGTGGTACAGGAGACGGTCAGAGACTGCAGAGGTGGTACAGGAGACGGTCAGAGACTGCAGAGGTGGTACAGGAGACGGTCAGAGACTGCAGAGGTGGTACAGGAGACGGTCAGAGACTGCAGAGGTGGTACAGGAGACGGTCAGAGACTGCAGAGGTGGTACAGGAGACGGTCAGAGACTGCAGAGGTGGTACAGGAGACGGTCAGAGACTGCAGAGGTGGTACAGGAGACGGTCAGAGACTGCAGAGGTGGTACAGGAGACGGTCAGAGACTGCAGAGGTGGTACAGGAGACGGTCAGAGACTGCAGAGGTGGTACAGGAGACGGTCAGAGACTGCAGAGGTGGTACAGGAGACGGTCAGAGACTGCAGAGGTGGTACAGGAGACGGTCAGAGACTGCAGAGGTGGTACAGGAGACGGTCAGAGACTGCAGAGGTGGTACAGGAGACGGTCAGAGACTGCAGAGGTGGTACAGGAGACGGTCAGAGACTGCAGAGGTGGTACAGGAGACGGTCAGAGACTGCAGAGGTGGTACAGGAGACGGTCAGAGACTGCAGAGGTGGTACAGGAGACGGTCAGAGACTGCAGAGGTGGTACAGGAGACGGTCAGAGACTGCAGAGGTGGTACAGGAGACGGTCAGAGACTGCAGAGGTGGTACAGGAGACGGTCAGAGACTGCAGAGGTGGTACAGGAGACGGTCAGAGACTGCAGAGGTGGTACAGGAGACGGTCAGAGACTGCAGAGGTGGTACAGGAGACGGTCAGAGACTGCAGAGGTGGTACAGGAGACGGTCAGAGACTGCAGAGGTGGTACAGGAGACGGTCAGAGACTACAGACCGTACAGGAGACAGACAGAGACTGCGGACACAGGACAGGAGATGACCAGAGACTGCGGACATAGTACAGGAGATGACCAGAGACTGCGGACATAGTACAGGAGATGACCAGAGACTGCGGACACAGTACAGGAGATGACCAGAGACTGCGGACACAGTACAGGAGATGACCAGAGACTGCGGACACGGTACAGGAGATGACCAGAGACTGCGGACACAGTACAGGAGATGACCAGAGACTGCGGACACAGTACAGGAGATGACCAGAGACTGCAGACATGGTACAGGAGATGACCAGAGACTGCGGACACGGTACAGGAGATGACCAGAGACTGCAGACACTGTACAGGAGACTGCCGATGTACTACACTGTGCTGGGAGGGGGGGGGGGGGGGGGGGGGTTTTAAATGTCTATTATCCTCACCAGCCCCTGCAGGCACACTTTTTTGGTTTAGGGACAGTAATAATATGTGGTTGAGACACATTTTTACAGCCATCAGTGGCTTCCCCTTTAGGTACAAAGGCAGAAGCTGGGAGGGTGTACATATCCAACGTATGCAATATAATGCCCTCTCACTGCCTGTGAAATGTTCTCTGAAGAGCGATCCAACATGGGCACTGCATGTGTACACCAGCCCCTAAGAGGCGTCCTTCCGATTCTCTGAACCTTTATGTGACCAAAGTCGCATGGTAAGGTTAAGGGTAATCCGTGTTTCAACCCTAACAATTACCACTAACCCTGACATGCGACTTCGGTCACAAAGGTTCCTGCACTACTTTGATGCTACTTGAGTGCTAGAAAGTGTAAAGCTGCATTAAAGTCGCATCGAAAATAGTGCAGGAACCTTTATGTGACCGAAGACGCATGTCAGGGGAAATCATTAGGGTCAGCGTTTCTATCCCCTCTAACCCTGACCAACATTTAACCCTGACATGCGACTTTGGTCACAAAGGTTCCTGCATTATTTTGATGCGACTTTAAATGCAACTTTGTTGCTCCTTGAGTGCCAGAAAGTGTAAAGTCGCATCAAAGTAGTGCAGGAACCTTTGTGACCAAAGTCGCATGTCAGGGTTAAATGTTGGTCAGGGTTAGAGGGGATAGAAACGCTGACCCTAATGATTTCCCCTGACATGCGTCTTTGGTTCCTCCACTACTTTGATGCGACCAGGGGCGGACTGACCATTTGGGCCCGGGGTCAGTAGGGGGGCCCCATGAGATGTCCCTGGTACCTTTTTCATAGGCTTTTTTGAGTTTGGGCAAGGACACAGGGGCCCCATGATTTGTCAGTCCGACCCTGGATGCGCACCCAAGTTGCTTTACATAACCGCAACTGTCGTACCTTTTCTATTGGCAAAAAAATCGCATCATAGCAATGTGCATCGAGGTGATTCTAGTCTACATCTCCAATGAACAGAGCAAATGCCATCTACTTCAAAGAGATGACAAACAGCGCCACCTAGTACCATTCCTGACACATGATGTGTAGTGGGGGGGGGGGGGGGAGTTGGACAAAAAAAAAATACCAGGAAGACCACATCAAAATAGAATTTACTATTCGTGCGACAAAATGGCAAGCAGAGCTGCAGAAGTGAGGAGTGGTGTATCGGGCCGATGCTGAGACCTCTAGAAGGGGCACGTTCCAGCACAGCGATGTCCTTTGAAAAAGAGAGGCGACCAGCAGGGGGCTCCATTCACAACAGGAACATGCATGCGATATTCAGGCGACACATTTTGCTGAAACTGTCAATTTATTGTGGTATTTACCTAAGGGGCGGGGCCACACGCTGACATCACCAGGGGGAGGGGCACCATGACCCATGCAATTTTTTTCTTAATTTTGGCATGGGGTTCCCCTTAAAATCAATACCAGACCCGTAGGGCCTGATGTGGATTGGGGGTGGATCCTGTCTTAAGGACATGTTGGCTGCCTGCTCCTTAACAACCATATTGTTTATGGGTTGTTAAGGACACGAGGGCTGCCCGCTCCTTAGCAACCATGCTTACTGCTGGTTAAGGACGTGGCAGCCGCCCGCTCCTTAACATCAATGTTGTTTACTGGTTAGTCGCCCCCCCCAATAACCATGTTTACTTACTAAGAACGCAGTGGCGGCCGCTCGCTCGCCCCTAGCAAACAAGTTTACTGATTGTTAAGGATGCGGCAGCCGCCCTCCCCTGACAGCCATCTTTACTGATTAAGGACGTGGCGGTCGCCTCCCCCCTAGCAACCATGTTTGCTGATTAAGGACGCGGTGGCGGTCCACCCCTAACAGCCAGGTTTACTGATTTTTAAATACGTGTTGGCCACCCGCTCCTTAACAAGCATGTTGTTTACTGGTTGTTAAGGACGCAGTGACTGCCCGCCCCTAACAACCAAGTTTACTGATTTTTAAATATATGTTGGCAACCTGCTCCTTAACAAGCATTTTGTTAAGGATGCAGCGGTTGCCTTTACTGATTGTCAGGGCCAGGCAGTCGCCGCTTCCTTAACGGCCATGTTTACTGGTTGTTAAGGACGCAGCGGCTGCCCGCCCCTAACAACCAAGTTTACTAATTGTTAAGGACAGAGCGGCCGCCTGCTCCTTAACAACCCAGTATTTACAACTGCCAATAAATACGCCGAGTCCTGCCCGGTTGTTACTGTGTAGCGCGTTTTTTTTTTTGTTAATGAATGTCAGAAAAACTTTTTGAAAAAGCGCTTGGAGGTATTTTACCAAAAATTTGAAAGAAGAAAACAGCGCTTTGCGAACGGAGCCTAGAGATCTGAAAAGTACTAAACTGCCCCCTTGCCAACATTTTTCGAGGAAAAAACAATGGAATTCGACTTTTTCTTCCATCCTAAAGTTGCTTTCCGATCGCAATGTGACGAAGCGAAAGGATTACACAACGGAACCGGCTAAAGCCCCTCCCCCCCCCACAAACCGCGAGAGCGCGACGTTAAGGAAAACGGGCTCATGGACAGGAACGCTGCAAGCAAAGCACAGAGCGGGTCAAAGGTCCGTTATAAATAGTATCACACAAGTCAATAAATACAATCGATTTCATACACAACGTGGTGACGCCGCCGCCGCCATTTCCCTCGCCGCCATCTCCCCCCGCCGCCATCTTCCCCGCTGCCGTCTCCCCCCGCCGCCATCTCCCCCGCCATCATCTCCCCCCGCCGCCATCTTCCCTGCCGCCGTCTCCCCTGCCGCCGTCTCCCCCGCCGCCATCTCCCCCCGCCGCCGTCTCCCCCCGCCGCCGTCTCCCCCCGCCGCCGTCTCCCCCCGCCGCCGTCTCCCCCGCCACGCAGTTCTGATTATTCTTTAATTTTGCAAATATATTACACTATAGGAGGAAATGTCCGTGTGGACCGGAAAAAAAAAAAGAGAGAGATTTCTAGAACGCGGGCAGCTGGATTTTTTCTCCTTCGTTCAGAAACTGCAAAGTCTTCCTGCTCCAGAAATTATACCTAGGAGAGAAAAGACGAGGAAGGAGGTGAGAATCGTCTGCGCCGGGAACTCTAATAAACATTATTCTGGATCATTAAAGCATTAAAAATTAGACAAAACGTTCAATTAAATATTCTCTTCAATAGCCAAAATATATAAATCCTCTTTGTGTGCAAAATACCTGTGTAAACCCAGATATTACCTTGTAAAAGAGCCCCCCCCCCCCCCCATCACATCAAAGGTCTCCCCATCACATCAGTGGTTCTCCCATCATATCCAGTATTCCCCATCACATCAGAGGTCCTACATCACATCAGAGGTTCTCCCATCACATCAGAGGTCTCCCCATCACAGCCAAGGTCCTCCCATCACATCAGAGGTTCCTCCATCACAACAGAACTCCCCCATCACATCAAAGGTCCTCCATCACATCAGAGGTTCCTCCATCACAACAGAACTCCCCCATCACATCAAAGGTCCTCCATCACATCAGAGGTTCTCCCATCACATCAGAGGTCCTACATCACATCAGAGGTCTCCCCATCACATCATAGGTCTCCCCATCACATCAGAGTTCCCCCATCACATCAGAGGTCTCCCCATCACATCAGAGTTCCCCCATCACATCAGAGGTCTCCCCATCACATCAGAGGTCCTCCATCACATCAGAGGTCCCCCATCACATGAAAGGTCTCCCCAACACATCAGAGCTCCTCCATCACATCAGAGGTCCTCCCATCACATCAAAGGTCTCCCGATTATATCAGAGGTCTCCCCATCACATCATAGGTTCTCCATCACATCAGAGGTTCTCCCATCCAATCAGAGGTCTGCCCATCACATCAGAGCTTTCCCCCATCACATTAGAGGTCCCCCCATCACAACAGAAATCCCCCATCATATCAGAGGTCCTCCCATCACATTAGAGATCCTCCTATCACATCAAAGGTCCTCCATCACATCAGAGGTCCCCCTCATCACATCAGAGCTCCCCATCATATCAGAGGTCCCCCCATCACATCAGAGGTCCCCCCATCACATCAGAGGTCCTCCCATCACATCAGAGGTCCTCCCATCACATTAAAGATCTCCCCATCACAGCAGAGGTCTCCCCATCACATCAGAGCTTTCCCCCATCACATTAGAGGTCCCCCCATCACAACAGAAATCCCCCATCATATCAGAGGTCCTCCCATCACATTAGAGATCCTCCTATCACATCAAAGGTCCTCCATCACATCAGAGGTCCCCTCATCACATCAGAGCTCCCCATCATATCAGAGGTCCCCCCATCACATCAGAGGTCCCCCCATCACATCAGAGGTCCTCCCATCACATCAGAGGTCCTCCCATCACATTAAAGATCTCCCCATCACAGCAGAGGTCTCCCCATCACATCAGAGGTTTCCCCATCACATCGGAGGTTCCCCATCACATCAGAGGTTCTCCCATCACATCAAAGGTCTCCTGATCATATCAGAGGTCTACCATCACATTAGAGGTCCTACATCACATCAGAGGTCCTCCCCATCACATCAGAGGTCCTCCATCACATTAGAGGTCCTCCATCACCTCAGAGGTTCCCCCATCACATCAGAGGTCCTACTATCACATCAAAGGTCTCCTGATCATATTAGAGGTCTCCCATCACATCAAAGGTCCTCCATCACATCAGAGGTCCTCCCATCACATCAGAGCTCCCCATCAGGTACACTTTAAGGATCCAGGAATCCTCTCCAGACTACGGTGTCACCTTCTGGATTTATATCTGGACAGCGGGTGACACTGCGGGCGGCAGAAATCGCCGTCATGTGACCGCACACAAAGTTGTGTTTGTTTGCCCAGGGATCGCTGGTTTTCTGGACGCCAACAATTGATGGATGGTCAATGTTCCCCGAACACTGTAATCTCCCGCACAACAGAA